CAAACTAGAATCTCATCTTGTCTTAACTGCAACACTGGTTTCTCACAATATAATGATAAATTTGAAGAAGTTTCCAACTAAGGAGCAAAATGAGCCGTCATAGTTGGCAATATCTCATTGATAGATTGTATTTCAGCATCTGTAACTTTCTGCTCTTCTTGTTCAAATCGTGTGAGAATGCTCTTTCCTGGAAAAAGAAGACTGCTCCAATGGGAGCTTCTTTTGGTGTTTCTGGCTGACAAGTTGTAGGAATTGAGAAATCAATTCCAGAGTCAGATGGTAAACTGAGCAGCATGTACTAAACAGTAGAATCTGGATGTTAGATGGCCAGCCCTGTGGGAATATCATGGAATTTTACGCAAAACAAGTTGGCAAACTGATTAAACCCCATATTTCACACACTTTTTCACTGTGATTGTGTAATGATAGAAGACGTTCATGGTCACTCCGGTAAATGTTACCTACTTGCGTGCATTTTAGATCAATATGCTAATATGTTCTTTTACTGCCATACTTGGTGTAGGCATTGCAATATGTTCAGGAGAACCCTGATGAAGTATGCCCGGCCGGATGGAAACCTGGGGAGAAGTCTATGAAACCAGACCCCAAACTCAGCAAGGAATACTTTGCTGCAATATAAGCTGAATTGGACCCGTGAGCACTGTGTTATTTGCCATTAGGTTGTAGAAGGTTTTGTGTAGCGAAATTTGTGTTGTCTATGTTGAGTGACCATTTTAATTTCGACATATGAAATGTTTAATAAATGCCGATACCTGGCGATATTCTTGCTCTGATTTCTTGTTCTTACTCTTTTAGTTGCAACTAGATAATGTTTCACGAACATCATCAAAAGGCAAAAAGCAATCCATTTTCTTAATTCAGAATCAATAATTGTCTTTAATTTATTTCAGCTGGCAAAATGATTTTGTTCTACCTGAGTTTGATGGAATGGTGGCAAGCAATTAGTTCACGGTCATGTTTGATACTAATACTAAAAATGATTGGATAATTAAATAGATTAGAATTTAGTTTGATCTTTGTTACATGGTCTAATATTGATTATCATATTCGCACTTGGCAGATTATGATTTGGCCAAGTGAAGTTTAACAAACACTCTCTGTTTGATGGTCGTTATTGTATAAAAAGGATGTTTTCAATAATGATTTTTTGGAGAATACAGGGTTAAAAAGTTAGAAATTTTTTTGAATATATGAGCATGAAAAATAAATTATTATATTTTAAAAGAATAATGTTATTTGCAATCGCTCACTACAGCAGTCGTCTTACGTGGTATACACATGGCAGGTGATTATTTGATGTATTAATGAATAAAAAAACTACCACATTAATGTATCAAATAATCACCTGTCATGTGTATATCACGTAAGGTGACTGTCGCAGTGAGCGACTACGAATAGCATTACTCATTTTAAAAAGAGTCAGAGAGGGCTTACTTTCTGTTCTTAGATTACGAGAACCTTGGAAAAAGGAAAGGACAATTGAGAAAAAAATATTCCTTTCTACAAAATGAAAGTTTAAATTTCACAGGTTCTTGAAACCTAAATACATGATAGAAAGTTATACAAAATTAAATGCAATTATCCAATACATGTAATATTCATGTTTGTTAAAATCGTAGTACTAAGGCCTCTAAAAATAAAAGAAATAATAACAAATTATATCTTATTTCTATTAAATTTAAAATCACTTACGTTAACCATTATTTGTTACTTCAGTTTGAGTCTATTAATTAAAAAAATAAAAAATAAAAAATAAAATAAAATAAACTAAGAGGGCTCATGTGGATCACAAGACATTCAAAGATATGCAAATTGAGAAACAATTGAACAATCTCACATGTACACTGTTACATCATATGACTTGACTTTAATACATAATTCCTTGATCAGTGATTAACAACCAACACTTTCCGCTAATTGTTATATTAGTATCACTAATGACAATAATTATTAGTACAAAGATTCGGGTTCTTGTCTCTGTGTATTTTTTTTTAAATAATAATAAAATTAATATGCGTATCATTGAGGTTTCTTTTATCACACACGCTATTACCAATTGATTATTCATAGAGTAATATCAATTATTCAAGAGATGATTTTTCAATTCTTATATATGGAAAGAGAATGAGAGATCAACAACAAGAACAACTTTCTATCTCATTGTCGTTTAATAGGTTACTATCGTAAAATCCAACTGCCAATAATTTGCACCACAAATATCGGAACTAACGTGTTTGATTATGGGCATCGGCACATTATGTCTCATTTGTACTATTTTAATGAAGCATTTATTAATGTAAAATTTTGTTTTGTACTAAAATTAATAAAATAAAATCTCATGCAATATATTAAAATAAGGTGTCTTAAAATAACATGTTATGGTGCAAAAAAAATAAAAATAAATAAATAAAATAAAATTCACCGCCATTGATGCGGCCGTTGCTACCTCCAACCACAATAGTTGAATATAGAGCATAGTAGCTCCCATAGGCAATTATCTTCTTTTAGCATATGCGAAGCTGCGGACTATCACGTGAATCACCTTGCTTACAAATTTAAATTGTTAGAATGAGGATACGTTATTTATATAAATTAAGTTTTTAATATTCTCATCGTGTACAAGATAAATTCATATTTTTTCGTAAGGCTCAACAATACACAATTTTCATGAAAGACTCGCAACTCAAATAAAAATATAAACGATAAGAGAGAAGATACATTACTTCTCAAATTAAAGTCGAAACAAGAAAGAAAGAGGTTTCAGGTGAAAGGTGGTTTTCATGGCTTCGATGAAGCAAGTCTATCCTAGGATACATATAAGATATTTTTACTTGAGTTCAAGAGACACATCGCTCGACAAATGCTAACAATGAATAAGGCACGTGAAGTGCAATTATTAAACCTTTCATTGCACTCCCCATCTTTGACGGAGTAAGTTTTTGTTCTATTTTAGGTTATGATATTTTATTTTGATCATTAAATAAAACACGCCGTCTAGAGTGATTTAAATAAAGTTAATAAATATTAATACATCATAGTACATTTTCGACAAAAAAAACGAGCTCTACACATCTTTCTAGTGTATTGTTAAACCCAACACGATTTATTGTACTATTTCATTACATTTTTTGTTTCATAGACAAAAAAATATGATTAAACATCACTATAAACAAGACATTGACTTCTTTATCGATCTTAGTAATGTAGATTGTTGCCCAATTCATGATGAAATAAGAAGAAAAGTTTCCTTACACAATGAAATTACGAACTTTCCATTGACTCTCATCGTCAGTACAATATATTTCGGGTTGGTGATATTTTATTGTTCGTATTGTTAGCAAAATCATTCTCCTAAAATTCTATTAAAAAACTTAATGATTGCGAACGCTAGCATCATCGCAACGTGTATATTGCTAATCTTCCACTGTGGATTAACTTGTAGGTGTTATCGTACCAAAAGTGTTGATGATCTTAAAGCCAATGACATCCCAAAAAAATGTGAGCAACGTCTATCGGTAGAGCGTCAATTCTCTCTTGAAAATTGTTCCCTCAATCTAACTTCCCCATTTAGGGGGTGGCACTGCCGTCAAAGCCACTAATATCTCAAGAGCTGCCACCCTCCACCCTTTCTTCTCCATCACATGACAATGAAAGCTCACCATTTTGCAATCATTCACTATCGTTATCACTCTACGTGACATACATTTGACGGTTAATGATTTGATGCATAAAGCAATAAAAAAAAATTATCATATTAATGCATAAAATCATTAACTGTCACATGTATACCACATAGGATGACTACGACAGTGAGTCATTGCAATTAGCATTGCTCATTTAAAAAACCTAATGAAAGCTCTATGTATTATTAGACAAGTCAAAGTAAAATCAAAGTTTACAAGAACACAAATTTTTAAGACGAAATTTACATTCTAAATTGGCTCCACGAGCAATAATAATTAGGTTCCATAACTTAACACATTTTACGGAAAAAAATCCATTACCGTCGGATGCCCAAATATTATGGAATAAATCATTTGCATCTCTTTTAGTCAAGGAATCAATGTTGTACTTTTGTTCAAACATATAATGACAAGTAATTTGGAGTGATAAAAAACATCTATATGAATGTATCAAGTAAGTGCAAATTAACGGAAGGAAAAAAAAAAAAAAAAAAAAAAAAAAAAAATGAAAAAAAAAAAAAAAAAAAAAAAAAAAAAAAAGGAAAATTAGAAGGCTGGAGGTTCTAGCATCCGAGGCCAAAACGTTGCACTGGACAATCACCCATATTGGTTTTGAATTTCTTATTTTTTTATGGTAGCTTTTCATTAAAAATCAAAACTTTTCGTAAAATCATTGAGAACTTTCTGTGGTGTATTGATGGAAAATTATCTCTTTCATTCCTAAACACAATACAAACAATCAATACTTGAAAACAACCAATTCATTTCATACAGTAAAGAAACTTCTTCAATTCTCTTAACATCTACAAAATTTCTTTCATTAGGTTTTAGGTTTTGGAAGTAAAACACTAGTGCTTAAGTATTTTCTCCTTCAAGGCTTGATTCAATCCTTGAAATAATTTGCCATAAGTCTTTTTTTTGACGACAATGATTCCATGTTCGAACCTTTTCACCATATTGTGGAATTATTGCTTCCTTTTTCTTTTGTTTGTCCCAGAGTTGATATGATCTTGAAGTTTAATGGTTTATTCTCGAATCAAAAATTATTTCAGAAATAAAATAGCGTAAACAGAAATAGGAACACAAGATATGTTTTGTTTCAAAATGGAGCCCGGATGTTCAGTCCAAGGACCTAATCACCCGTTGAGTCTGAATCAAGAGATATGCTTGAATTTCCACTAATTTCACAAAGAATCAGTACAGGATGTTCGAAGAAATCAGGGATTTCTTTATCTTTTTCTAGCCTCTATTTCACACAGATTTCCTTTCAATAATATCACACAGATCACTCAACGTTACAATCCTTACATAAAGGACTTTCAAAATCACACAGATTTCATATTACATTTTCAGAGAAAGGAGAGAGACGAAAGAACTCTCACACAGAGAAAGACTGAAGGTTCTAGAGAAAATCAGAGAGAGTATGCCAAAAGCCAGACGACCAAGGGTCATGTAAGTATCAAACAGTTGGACCGACCTTATCTAACGGTTGGGGGTGTGCCACGTGTACGGCACACACCCAACCATAAGAGGCAGATAAATCATGAAACCAAAAACACGAGAAATGTTAAGTTTGGGCTCCTTGTTTGTTTAATTTAATAAGGGGCCCAAAGTAGGAAATAGTGAGGCAGCCCAACACTTTTAACATCTTTTGTTACCTTCTACATTCTCTCTTGAATTTAATATTCAACAAAAGTAAAAAACTTTAGTTATTCAAAATACACCATTTACTTCACGAAAAATTGGCGGCAGTATTCTCAGAAGATGATGTTTCAACATTGTCCTTGCCTCTTAAGCACGCATTAGTGGGTAAATTATCTCATGGGAGGCTGCCAATGGTGAAAATCCATAACGCCTTTCAAGCACGCATTACTTGGGACCTCTTACGATTGAGATTAGGATCAAGTGAAGCAGGGTTGTTGACTCATTTCAAGAGTCACGAAATCAAGCTTAATTCGCAACTTCGATATGCCATAGAGGACTTGGTTAAAAGTGTAATTGGAGGATCAACTAACAACTTAAATTATCAACAAGCAGATAAATCACATGCCAACTTTATCAACCAAGCCGATCGGAGTCAGAACTATCGTGGTGCACAAGGGACTACGTCGGGATGCTTTTTGTTTAATTAAAATAAATTTTTTATTAAATTTTGATAAAAGTTGGTGATATATATGATTGAAAAATTTACAAACGTTGTGAATCCTATAAAATGTGTGGTTGAAAATAGGGACGGATTCAGAATTGGATCCAAGACCGGACTACAAAAATTCAAACCTGGCTACTACGTGGAAAAAAAAAATTTACACAAAAAAAACTGATTTTTTACCAAAAAAAAAAAAAAAAAAAAAACCTTAAAAAAAAAAAAGTTCTTGAGCCTGAGTGTGGGGGGGCTACAGCCCAGCCTGCCCCCCTTAAATCTGTCTCTGGTTGAAAATGAATTTGAGAAAAAATAAATTTAACAGATGAGAGCCTAACAAGTGCTTAATATCATATTGACGGAAACGAAACTATGGGTTTTTTTAGTTGGGGGACTGTAATAAATTTGCAAAACCTCCTTCAAGTAGTGAGTTTGAAAGTGATTGAGGGCAAAAGGACAATTTCACTGTGACGTATGAGACAAGCACTATGTCTAAGACAAAGTGTAATTTTATTTCTTACATTATATCCCCTGAATGGAGCAAGTTTAATTTTTTGCACCTTTAGCTAGAGATGCCCTTTCTTAACTATGTACTACATTTTATCTTCGTTTGTTAATAAAACAGACCATTGGGCAAGGTAAGTACTGGGCTGCAAACTTCAAGGCCTAGCGGGATTAGTCAAGGTGCGCGTAAGATGACTCGTACACTCACGGTCATCAAAAAATAAGACATACCACATTATTAAGTGGTTCAAAAAAAATTCTCACCAAACAATGCCATGAAATTATACAACGAAATATTTAACGATTCACAAGCAACAAAATTATAAGCAGCAAATATTGCACATATTTAAGTATTTGGAGAATTTGTTTTCAATATTTTGCTTTTCTTTAATTTGTCTTTGCAAATACACAGAACATGACATAATCAATAGAGATGAATGGTTAGATAAAATGGATTCTTTTATATGGATCCGCAAAAAAATTTCACATTTTTACCCATAGTTGTGTATATTAAGCTTTGGCATTGCCCCCAAAATACAAGAAGTTTTTCCTGTGCTGCATGTTCTGTGCCAGAATAGAGTCGTATTTACTGGAAACTCTAAACCCAAAAAAGGAAAATTCATACTGTTCCAGGCTTGTTACGAAGGAACGCCGGGGTCGGGATCGGGTACATAATTTAGTCTTCCCACTTCTTCCCAGATCAACTTGGATGTCACTTCATCATGCTCTGGAATATATTCCTGTAATACAATATAAGAGTATAAAGAGAAGGAGCTAAAATTATTTTAGCTTAATTATTCATATAATCACAAGGGACACCTACTCTCTTTCTTTTTTATTTTTTTATTTTTAATTTTTTTTTGTGTGTTTAAAATGCCAAATAAATTATAACTCATTACCACACAAAAGTTCCACATGAAATTGACTTTTCTCATTCCCTCTCTACAAGTTGGTCCTTCTTAAACAATTTTGACACGATAGCATAGTATAAAATACAAGTTTCCATTCTTATGTGATTATGAAAAAAAGGGACAAAAAAATTTATTTTATATCTTAAATAGGCCCAAATAGTTTATCTATCTTCTATAGACGTAATATATACAAACAACAGTTTAAGTACTTGCCTTTATGATTAATGTTGTGCTACATGTACATAATTGTTCACATAATAATTTATGTGCAGATAATGTGATGAGATATAATTGGGCCATAATTTTTTCAATTAAATAAAACTCTTCTTGACACCTTATCTGTATATAAATCATTATGTATAAGTAGCACCATTCTTATGATTAAACTACATTGGTTTTGCACTTAGATTGCAAAAAGATAGTTTTCTTTATGGCTAATTTTTTACCTCAAGTTCTCTGACCAACTGTTTGGCTGTCGGAGCCGACACGATAATTCTTCGTGCAGTTGGAGAGACAAAACCTTCGTCAACGGCCTTGTCAATAAAAGACAACAAGGAATTATAGAAACCCTCAACATTCAAGAGGCCCACCTGCATATGTTTATATGATTAGATTAGTGAATAAATTAAGATTAAAAAAGTACATTATGTGACTTAATGTCGTGCAACATGCCTACTTTTGACCAACACTAATCCCCATTTTCTAATTCTAAGAAGTTTTCTCCAATTCATATGGAGATCTGCCAGTGAAATTCAAATCATGTTAGCATGAATATGATTGCAAAACAAAATTTTGTAAATCTTTCCATGTGAACCATTACAAGTTCCACATGCACCGAAAAGCTTCCCCTTCCATTCCGATATGATAAGGACTATTGACCAAAAATCCGACGAACATATTTTTAGTGGCATATGAATCGAACGCCAATCGTCAATATAACATGCTACCACTGTTATTATGCCCGGATAGAGCAATCAGAAAGTAGATGAAAAAGTAGCTCACGGGTTTATGATGGATCCCAAGCTGAGCCCACGTAATAACTTCAAGCAACTCTTCGAGCGTGCCATAACCCCCTGAAAGTGAATAAGTATTTACTTTTGATTTATTTCACGTGCCTAGTTTTAATCGATTTAGAAGCATAAAAGAGATTTGCATACCGGGAAGAGCAATGAAGGCGTCTGCTTGTCGGGCCATCTCTGCTTTCCTCTGATGCATATCAGATACAGCTCGTACTTCTCCAATAGTTTCACCAGTTATCTGTTGTGACGACACGTTGCATTATAAACTAGAATATATGTTTAGACAACAATAAATTTTAAACTTAAATGCCATAGATCACTACATAGTTGAACATTGTTTGCGGGTTTTTCATCCTAGATGCATTACTTCTCCCAAATTTTAATTCACATTGAAACGAAAATTTTCAGACAAAAGAAGAAGCTTGATTAAAAATTTTTAGTCATACCTCCCGGGGCATGAGAGTCCTTGGTATAACCCTGCAAGTAAATTAAGAATTTGGAAATGTCAGAGTCTCGAGATGAAATCCCCAGTTCCTATCCCATGAGACCAAGACTATACTATCGATAATTGAAAAACAACAAAAAAAATAAAAATTCCCCAGAAACTTAGTCATATGCAAATCAATTCATTGTCCCTCCCTTTATGAAAAAATAATAACAAAAAGAGTACAAGCTACTAACAGCCTAAAAGGCAGAACACTTTCTATCGAACCTTTTACACTTCTGCATTATGTTTCTAACAAGAATTTCGCTTTATACTCTGATCCAAATCAGTGCACTTTATACTCTTCAAGGTACTACTAAGATTTGTACTGTCACTATCATAGAAACACTGATTATTACTCTCAAATCAAAGAATTACATTTTCAACTAAGCTACTTGTATAGATGATATGTACACCTTTGTTGACAGATGATAAGATGACATGCATTTTGACTTTTGATTTGAATTTCATTTATTTAAATCAAAGGCCAAAATGATGTCATCTCATTGTCTGTTAAACTAATTGTATATGTGATATAACTGTTGCATTTTCAAAGGACATCCACTTTTAGATGTGACGATATTGAAGACTTTTAGATCATTATAGTGTCGATTGAGTGTCAAGTACTGAATGTCAAACACACTTTTAATGTATGTGTGAGTTTGTGTTTGTATACACACAGTGTGAGGGGGAGAGAGAATAATACCCTAGAACATGGCGCCCACCATCATGAACTGCCTGAGAAACAAGACCCATAAGACCCACACTACCACCTCCATAGACCAAATCAATACTTTTCTCCACCTTCAAGAAAAAAACACATTGAAAAGAGCAAAACGAAACTCATCAAACACGCGTCAGAAACAAATGTATTACTATAAACACTTGATCAACAAACAAAACCCATAATTTATAATTCATAGGATGCCTCGAAAATCATGGCAAACTGTAAGCATGGCTTTTCAAATGATTGAATTTGTGTGATTATACGTGCATGAACATATATAAAAATACGGTATACATTTCCCATAAAACAAAAATGATGAAGCTCTGGTAATAGAACAACACGCTTAAAAGAGTCATGATACCAAGATGGCACGTTTGGTTTCCCAATCCAAAGGCAGAAATTAATTTTTTATTTTTTGTAACACAATTAAATTTTTACTGACTAAGATCACGCAAGAAGGGCTGTTGTGAAATGACAGCCAGGTTACAGCTAGCCCCTAATTTCTCTCTCTGATTTATCATGCCAAACCAAACATAAACCCTAAACCTGATTTTCCCCCAAGGCCAATCTGCCGCCTTGCCCATGTTGAAATCTGTGGGTTCTTCACATTTATGTGTGTGTGTGTGTGGGTAAGATGTATAATTCTGGCAATCACAAAATTAAGACAGAGAAATGTGAGGGAAGATCAGTTTTTGCAAGAGCAGCTTTTGTATATTTCTGCATATTGATGAACTATACTGAATTCTTTAAGAACTCGATGAATTCAAAACAAATGTAAAATAGAGGTTGATTATACGATATCGTATCAATATGTATATATAACACAATGCTGTGAGTATCGAATGTACTAATTTGGAATTGAAACACACTGTGCTTGCAAGATATAGGATTACCAATTCTTTACCCAGCTCAATAGCAGCTTCTTGATAACTTGGTTTCTTGCCAGAACTGCTCCCACAGAATACACAAATTCTCTTGAATCTTGACTTTATCTCCTCCTCCATTCCAATCTCCCGTTCTCTCTCTCTCTCTCTCTCTGTGTGTATGTGTGTGTGTGAATGATGATGTCCCTTGAGCTGTGAGGGGGCGAGAAATGAGTCATAATTTATAAGTCTTTTTATATAGGCAGAATAAGGAGCTTACACACAATCTCTCTCCAACCATGATCTAAATTAATTAGAACCTTTACCATATAGAGGAATATAATTGCCTTTTTTATTTTTCATTACTTAGGGTCAAAACAGTGCTTTCATGATTAATTATCTTTCATTTTAGTGGTTACATTCACGCCACTTTTTTATTTTTTCCCCCTAAATATACACCACATTTTAAATATAATAAAGATGGTTCGTCTTTATTCATTATCAAACTTATATTCATAATTTTTTTTTTATCATATTCTTATTTTTAACATTTCATTGATCAATAAATATTGTCATTAATCATATTTTTTGTCCAAAAATAATGTTAATATACTTTAAAATGAGGATTCAATATTTAATCGCATCGTGCATTACTATTTGTTTTGCTTATTTAAAAATACAATGGACAACTGAGTTCTTTTTCTATAATCTTAAAGAAAATTTTAGAGCGAAATCATAATAATAATAATAATAATAATAATAATTATAATAATAATAATAAAACTTATGTTCGTTTGAGAATAAAATGGGCCTGACTTCTAGTTCTCTCATTCTCTATGTTTATATTATGTCACTATTTTCATACTATTTTCTTTATAGGAGAGCATATTGCGTCGTTCAAAAAGGGCTCGATCGTCTTGAGAATATATTGATATCCTCCTTGATCTCTTGAAAACTAACGACTTGATGAACTGGTGCCAATTGGCTCCTCATCACGTTACCATGCTCGTCACATAACATTTATGAATAGACCTTCATTATATTAGAATGAAATCAAATCCATACCTAATATGTCCTTATTGAACAACTTTTCCATTCAATAATAACTTACTGTCGTGCACCACCACTTGAGATTGCTCATTAAGCCACCCTCGTATCAGTCTTGAGTACGTTATTAACATATCTTTTTTCTTTCATTTTCAATTTTACAAAAATCAATATTTTTTTTTATACTATATTGTAAAGCTTCCTTGCAGAAACAAACACTAAGAAGAGTATGCGTGCATTCTTGGAGATTTTTTTGAGCTGGAATATCATATCAAGATATAAATCCCAAATTAAGACGAATCAAAAATCAAATTTAAATTATAGAATAACTGCTAACATTAAAAATTATTTTACACGATCTTTTTAGTTTTTATTCACTGAATTAAAATCATAAAAATTAGAATATATGACAACTGAGAATGTTCAATTGCCCATTTTACGATGTTGAAAAAATTTAACTGAAGTATCTTCTAAATTAGTAAATATGTAAATTTATATATTTTTTAATAGCTTATTCATTTCAAATTGGATTAGAGGAAAGGAAAATGCTTCTTATACATAATAATTTACATAATGTTTACATAACGATGAAGTGTCAAAATGTAAGAGGGAAAGTTATTTGATTGATATGATTTTGATCCAATTAAATCTCATCACATCATCTGTTGATAAACTATTATGTAAATTGTTATGTATATGTAGCACGATCCTTAGAAGAAAATAAAAATAATAAATTTTGGAGGACCATCTTTTAAAGAAAAAATATTTAATTAAACATCATTACATATTTTAGGATCAAAACCAATTTCAATATAAATAAACGAAAGATTGCGTAAAGTAACGATCTTGTCTTCTTTAATCTTAGCATGCAGCTCACGTGTAACAACTGTTCACAAGCAAATTGAGATTTGTTAAAATAAAATATTGAATTGATTATTAGTTATAAGGATTTATTTTTTATTTATATATTAATTTCTCTAATTAATTGATGCAGTATCTTTGATAAGATCAAATAGTGTGGATCTTCACGTTTCTGGACTAATTATCTGTCACAGTTTCAACTCCATGGCAAAGACCTTTAAAGAAACAAAATTTCAACAATTTGGTTTCAATTATTTGTATCTTATTTAAATTGGAAGGTTCTCATTGCACAAAATGATTAAAAGCATGTTTGTTTAAGTTCAAAAACAAAGTTAAGTTTTCACGAATATGTTCGGATAGTACACTATTTTTTTACCCTAGAATAATATTTTCAAAGATAAATATTAAATTATTTCAAACCTTGACAGATAAAAAAGGATTGTCTATTTCAAAAGTTACTTATTTACTTATAAGTAAATTTTTAAGCTAAGTTGAATGTGCCACTAATAGATAATAATGCTTGTAAATAAGAAACTTTTACGATTATACTATATGTACATAATATTTTATATAATGACTTGCATACACATGATATGATGAGATATGATTATGTCAGAATTTTTCAACTAATAAAAAAAATTCCCAATTCTCTTCTGATACTTCATCTACATACAAATCATTATGTAACTGTTTATGTACAAGTAGACATAAAGATATTTTTCTTACTTCTTACTTTTTTTCACACAATTAAATGAAAATTAAAGAAAAAAACAACTTAAAAAATGAGTTTCGAGAATTTAGATTTTTTCGGTTCTTCCTATCCACTTCCATTACCTTGCTCAAAATGAGTCATTATAAAGTAATTCCTCTTGTACAAGAAAATGCTCAGAGAAGTCGTGCAGATGCAACTCAGCACCTGTATGGCTTCTTTTTTCGTTGTTTTTATCATCTGCCAATGTTTAACTGTCAATGTGCATCTATAGAAAATCTACCAAATTTTTTCAGTACACAAAGCACCACTTGTCATTTTATATATTCTCCTTGTACTTTTTCGAATTACAAACCATGTATTAGTCATAGGGATGGCAAATGGACCGAGCGGCTCGTCAGCTCACCCGCTTGGCTCGCAAAAACGGAGCTCGTGGGTGGCTCAGACTCATAAAAACACGAGCCCGAGCGTGAGCCGAGCGGGCCGATACAGTGGACGAGCCGAGCCCACTCAGCTCTCACGGCTCGCACAAAAAACGAGCCGCTCGTGAGCGGCTCGTTTGGAATGAGCCATGAGCCAGCTCGTGGGCTCGTGTTAAATGTGACCGAAACGGTCACATTTTTTAAAATGTGACCGTTTCAGTCCCCCGTTTATTTTTTTTCATTTATTTCTTTTTTTTTTGACCGTTAACGGTCATTGAATTTTTTTAGTGACCGTTTTGGTCCTTATATTTTGTTTTTTTTTCTTTTATTCTTCTATAAATAGTGGCATTTAGCCACAAAATTTTTTACAATTCTCTAAAATCTCAATTATCTTTCTCTCAACTTTCTTGTATTGTGTTGATAACTTGCAATTTTTATATACAATTTATACAATATCCAATTCTCATTTCTCAGTTCTCACTATATTTATTGAAATTTCATCCAATTTTCATTTCTCACTACATTTATACAATTATTCTTCTACTAGTTATTACTTATTACAACTAAACAAATAGATCCACGCTCATTTGTCAAAAACTTGTTCGCTGTGGGAGGAAACGAATAGCCTATAACATCGCAAAGTCAATTTCAGAATCAATTTGAAGGTCTAAATGACGTACCCCTACCTGAAAATATTCCAGATTTGGATCTTCATCATCATGTAAGCGGCAATCCAAATTATCCAATTAATTTGGATGATGTTGACGTTCCCAAAGAGGAACACGATCAGAAAGAAGATGCTGAATTAAACATTCCTGATGCGAGGGAAAAGCGAAAGAGGAAAAAACAAACAAAATGTTGGGATCACTTTAAGTTGATTTCAACGGGAAAAATCGTCAATGGAGTCCAAGAATCCAAAGCAGTAT